ACCGCGTATTTGTTTTAAGCAACAGGTGTTGGTACAGTAGATGTGATATCTCATGAAGTGTTGACTGAAATTCCGAAATGTGTTTTGAATCCGAAAAGATTACCTTCTTCGGATTGTAATATTAGTTATCGTGCAAAATAATCTCAAGGCATTTTCCTCACGCCAGGATGTCGGCTTCTGAATGTGCTTCTTTTCGGCCGGCCGCACGAACAATTCCCAACAAAATATTACTGTTTAAGTAGTATGAAGCTTTCTCATTGATTCTCGGTGCCCTTATGGATTTAATTGTACTTTGTGGAAAACGTGCACAAAAACGTTCTTGCTCTCATTCATTCAGTAACAGATTACGTCTTCCTCAGAGTTTATGCTGGAAGCACGAATGCCTTTATGTTTTAAAAAGGCCCTAATTATGGGTTTTTTAAGACCGCGAAATTTGTAATCATTCCCCACCACATCGGCACTTTTGTTAATGCTGCTTCCAAAGTACGACCTTTCTAAGATAGAAAGTATGAAACTTGTAGTTTGGGAATCCTGACTGAAGGTGCAACGACAGACCTGATTCAAAATTACTCGAGAACAGTAAGCGTTTTTTAAGGGATGAGACTTTTATCGGGAAGACCTGATGTTCTACCAAATGATTAACAGAAAGAATATTTCGCGCATGTTTTCTATAAAATATATATTTAACTTATCAGGGCATCGAAAATCAGTGGAAAAATCAATAATAATTAGGTGACCACTTTTACAGAATGTGAATCATGCAGTCGGCCGAAGACAAATGAATTCAAAAACCAACATCTTGACGTGACGGAAATATCTTCGGATTCTACTGTACGATAGTTAACAGCCTTACTTAAGTAATCCACTCGAGTCGGAAACACAGTTCAGAATTCCAGTCAACATCTCATGAAACAGCACATCTATTGTATGCATGCGTCCACTATGTGTGTTCTAACTTTCCACTTTTTTTTGTACAAATCAAGGCATGCATTAAAAAAATCCCAGGCCCCCGTTGACCTCCGTCTTAGCTTTTTTCGGTGAGTCCTGTTTGGAGCTCGGACTGATCCGTTTTGGATTTGACCCCTACCTGCCACCTGAGAGACTGATCAGTGCCCAGTGGAGGTTCTGTTATGCCAATTAAAAAACTGATTCGTGACATGAAATCTTGTCTTCTGAAGGAACCACGGGGAAGCCGGCTGCGGACGGTTCTGCGTCTAGCCGAAAAACATATTTTCCGCAAAACAGCTGGACTTATCCCTTTTGCGCATGCCTGTCGACTTATAGTTCCTTCAGGACCGTTTTAAAAGACGACCCAAATGGATCCAAAAAAGCTCGACTTGTGCCATCACATCAGATTTATTATTACTTCAAAAAATAACTCGCTAATATAACAGCCATCTGCCTTTTGCCGGCCTGGCCGTCTTTTCACGATTCAATTTTTTGTTGGTCCGCATGGCACAGCCTCTGCCGGGTTTGACACAAGAAGCTCACTGGGCCCTCGCTGACCTCATCTATCCAACCTCCCAGTTTGTCTTCTCGACCACCGCCACCAGAACCGGCTTGATCGAGAAGATGAGAACCAATCTCCTGCTCATGCGTCCCGACGGTCTGCCTCCGGACTACGAGCTTGTCGCTCTAAAAACCTTCTACAGCACTTCGGAACACTTTACCCCTGGTGCGTACTTTTCCGGCCATTCGCCTGCCACCCAACTCGCTCTGCACTCCCTTGATATCCCCTTTCCTCATTCGTCCGGTCTTCCTTCTTCTTTCACCTCCATGTTTTCGTCTATCAATAGACCTCCACAGCACGCCCGGAAGCCAGCTTGGTATCCTGTTGCATCGGACCATGCCCTACTGTGGGAGAACCTACCTGTGTGAGCAGTGCGGTATTAGTCTCGCCAACTCATCCTCCCCTTCCACCTCAGAAAAGGTGAGACATTGATTTAACTGGGTCAGATTGGAGGTACTGACCAATCCCGGTTTTAGGTCGGAAATTGATGTTCTCGTTTCCGCACATCAGAAAATCGTGTGGCGGCTCGCAAACAATAGCCTAGTCCTATTAAAAAGGGGGACGCGGTCGCTAGAACAAGAGCTTTATTTGCCTGACGTTTCGGATTACCGCTCGAATCCAACATAAGAGACAACAACAAGAGATATGCGTAGTTCATGCACAAGGGCCTGCAGTTTATGTAGGATGCAGTCGCTATGCTACCTCACGCCTATGAAAACCCACGGCTGCCCCTCCCCCCCCCAACCTTCATCAGGAATTGTTACACTTGGTGTGATGACTGTTCGATGGTCGACATTCGCGCCGTTTATTGCCGCAATTTCATCACGGGTGTTCGATGTTGATGTGATGATTGCTCAACCATCTGATCCACCGGCCCTGGCGTTGGGAATAGTGTTAGCCGGTGCGCTCCCCGCGTGGCCACTGAATCGTGACTAAAGTAGCTGGCGGTTTATGCGATTTTCACCTCTAGCGAGAATTTGAGTGTGTGACCGGATCTCGTCGAATGAGCCGCAACTTCAGAACTGACATCATTTATCCACACTGCTGCCGCGTGTTCGGCTATTCGGACTCGCAGCATTCTTCCGGTTTCTCGGGCGTAGTTCCTTAGACCGTAACGGCACCAAATCCGATAAAAAAACTCCATACGTTTATTGCCGTGGCAGTAGGTACTTCAGTTTCATTGTCTAACGCCTGATGGTTGCTTCCGGTGTGTGTAACTCCAACCCCAAGTGGTGCAAGAAGGCAACTGACGGCCTCCGAGACGTTCTTGACGTACGGAAGAGCTCCCCAAAATTTGGAGTCGTACAAGACCTTTCGTCCCCTTTGTGTATGCGCCGGTTCACGAAGTTGCGCGCGTGGCCACTGGCTTTGAACACCCGTCGAAGGTATTGTAGATCGGCAATCTTTTCTTCCGGATCACTGTAGTGCATCTCAACGCAAACTGCGTTTGAGGTTGTTGATGAGTTCGAGTAGAAAGCCCAAATGTCCGGCAAATAAAGCGCGCATCCCAGCAATCGTAGAGCCTTCTTCACAATTGCTACCAGGCAAGGTCTAGTTTTATCTCTAGCTCCAGAACAGTACGGAATTGTTTGTGTTCCATCCCGAAATCAGGACACACCGACACACTCCAGGCCGGTCGATTGAATACTCTCCGTTTAGCCGACCTAATGCAGACATGGGTGGGGTGCTGGGCGTGTTTCGCGATAATCGACTGCCTCGGATTCAAAACCCGAACATGCAACCCGTGATAGGGCGTTATTAACGGATGAAAACAGCCATCCAGCTGTACCTCGCGTTATTATTACCCACCCTTCTGGCAATGGAGCAGGACTTAAAATATGGCTCTCCTCTAGCCAGACGCCATGTGATTTCACTGCAATACAAATTCGTTTGTCTGATCCGGGGTACTCTTGGTTCCCAGATAGCCATCTGAGGAGACTTTTAATGTTGCTTTCCTTAGAATGCGGATCAGGGAATATAACCGGATTTGGAATAGGCTCTCTTTAGTTAAACAGAGTGAGACCACGGGTATACTTGCCGTCGGTCGTTACGCTGCTGGTTTTTCCCACAGCTAATAACGCCTTGAAGCTTTCTCCCTTGTCCAGAATAAAGTCGATTTTTCTTCCAATACGGGTGACTTGCTGTGCGGCCCTGTGGTACGCGGCACAATCATTTTAACCAGGTAAGATAGAAGGTTTCAGATTTAATAGTAGGTACTCTTTTCCTCCATAACTTATTACTAGACAACGGAACACCGGCTCACCTCGAACCGAGTTTTCATCCAGGTCCCATTTGCCTCTAACGAAGTCTTACACGATAGGACGGACCATCCGTCATACATACGACACGGCAAAATTGTTAATGACATGGCAGAATGGCATTACCGACAAAGACATGGCAGACTGCAATGGACACTTCTGGCTTATTAGCCGTCGTCAGCCATTCACACCCAACCCCAAAGTGTGGAACACCCGAGGCTCGAACTCACGACCTATTAGTTAGAAGTCCATGCCTCTAACCACTGGGCCAAGGGCCCGTTGTCCTGTCAATTTTCGATCGGGAATATACAATGGTAGGGGAAGCTCACCGATCGTTCTTACGGAACTCAAGCGCCGCAGTACGACTGCTGGTTGGGCTCGAGATAGAGCCGGTAACGCACAACGGAACGAGTGAGTTCCGTAAGAACATACTCACTTTTGCATATATATGTATGTACTTATAGGCAGGATGTTATTACCGATAAAAACAAGGGAAACAAGAATGGCCATTTCTGGCTTCTCAGCCGTCGTCAGCCAGTCCTACCCAACCCCGATGTGTGGCACACCCGAGGCCCGAACTCGCGACCTGTTAATTAGAAGTCCACACCTCTAACCACTGGGCCAAGGGCCCGTTGTCCTGTCAGTTTTCGATCGTGAATATACAATGGTAGGGGGCCTCGCCGATCGTTCTTATGGAACTCACTCGTTCCGTTGTGCCTTACAGGCTCTCTCTCGAGCCAAACCAGCAGCCGCACAGAGGCGCGTGTCTCAGTCGGTAATGTTATTCTGCCTATATTATTCGCCGCTGTGCGGCTGCTGGTTTGGCTCGAGAGAGAGAGTCCGGAAGGCACAACGGAACGAGTGAGTTCCGTATGAACGATCGGTGAGCTCCCCCTACCAGTATCGATTGCATCTTCCTCCTCTTCATTGAACAGCCATATCTTTGATTTTTGTGCAATCTAAAGTCTTTTTTGTTTTTCCCCCTGCCCTACTACGAAGGTGGACGTCTCTGGACTATTTGTGAATCTCCCCATTCAGAGAGCACTGCGTACCTCGCTGACTTTCATACCGAGGCAAGCTCACCGACATGAAAGCAAGGAAGTGCCCACGACATCGTTGAGTGTCCAACCCATGGAACTGGAGGCCTTCCTCCTGTTGCCCGAGGAGCCAGGAACCCACTAGCGTTGACGGATTGAAGATAGAACTATTTGCTACCCCTTGCAACTGAGGACATGTATAGATTTGTTCTGGGGGGGGTCGATGGCCGGTCCTGTAACCTGCCCTCTCAACAATCCGCCTAAATTTTGGATGTCTGTTCCTTTTAATGTGTCATAACCCTGCCTACCGGCCACAAATCTGCTCCTACATCATTAACGTCTTTCCTTCAAGTTTCCTTTTAAACTGAATTTGTACGCTTAAAATCGAAGATGTAGAAAGTTTACGATTGTCGTTGTCCATTCTTCCAAGTACAAATGGTCGCATCAGGTAATATCGCATTTGCCTGATATCACAGTTTTCCCAAAAGAGAATCTGATTGCTGAAAGACCGCAGAATACCCAGCCAAGTTCTCTGAGACCATTTATTACACAAGAGGTGAAAACATTCTACACCACCGGTTACTGCGGTCCGGCTTAACTAAAAACATGCACCATATGTAGCCCCCATTATGTGGGAAAATTATCAACCGACCTTAAAAAAGGATCTTCAAGGTGCTACTGTGCAGGTTAATAGTTTGATTGTCGCGAACGATTCTGCGTGAATGATATCTTAGCGAGGCAGACTTACGTATCGCCCGCAGCACTATCATTTCCTTGTTCCCGCTCTAAAAACACCACAAATAGATGGGGGGCGGTAGCCAGACAGAACGACTGTGCTTATCACACATGGCAAGAAGCAAATTCTAAGGTAGAGAAGGGGTTCAAAAAGCCGTCAAAAATAGCATAACAGTCTTACAGCGCTGCCGCAGGGTGTAATGAGACCACAAAATCCGCAAAGAATCTGGACGAGAGTATTCACAACAAGTTAACAGAGTGTATAGTAACAACTTGTATTGCAGGGAATGCTTGTTAACAGGCGCCTTCGAAAGTGGTAAACAAACGCATGCCCGCCTATAGGTGGGGGCGGAACGATCTTCATCATGACTAGGCTGTCTCCAGATAGATGACCTTCAGTCATGTGTTATTTCTCCGTTCAGTTCCCTCAGATTCGAGGCCGAATAATGTTCTTCAGGAATAGCCTGTCTCCAGATAGGCGGCCTTCAGATATATGTTGATTCTCCATTCAGTACCCTCGGATTCGTCTCGTTCAGGCTGCATCTTCTGGAAGGGTTCCGCCCAACAGGCTCATGCTCGCCGCAGGAGTAAAACCCAGGAATCAGGAACGGGACGGGGGCTGTGGTTAATGATAGAATTTACAAAACCACCAACGCATACCAGGTCAGGATCAAGGCGTGCAGCATGGCATTCAATTTGTTTTTTTTTGTCTACCGCACAATTTTTCAACTGGATTTTCGGTGAAATCTTTCCTTCTTAACCACAGATCGTCTGCAGCCACCACTGTGTTTGTCGATTTATCATCAGGCGCGAGCACACTGGACCACAATTTCTCAGTACACGTAGCCAGATTCTTATCAAAGTGTGTCTGCATATACAACTCGACTTTTACGAAGAGCGTCTTCTATTTTTCATTATATCCACTCGGAATGCATACCACCTCTGATCTACAACATATATGTCTAGGTGGTCTAGAATCCATTCTACTGACCTCTGTCCTACCTGAAGACAAGCGCGCTGACATACGCAGCTGTGCCACTGGTATCCTCCGACAAAAAAGACACCAGCAAACTTTACCGGCCGAAGAGGCGCAAGGATTGCGACCACAGTATTGTTGTTGTTCTCCCCGACAAAGATGGCGCTACCGTCATCATGGACAAAACTGACTACGTCAACAAGGCGGATCTAATCTTCAGTGACACGGATTCTTATACCATTCTCGCCGAAGACCCAAGGAAAAAGCAAGCCGCAACCATCATGAAAAAGGTTAATGAACTTGCTCGGCTGAAAGTCATAGGTCCAGATGACTCAAAGTTTATGACCCTCAGTGATCCCCATATCGCACACGCGTACGGTCTTTCAAAGGTCCACAAAATTGGTGCCCCACTGAGGATTATAGTACCGCTTATCGGACCCCCTACTTACAATTTAGCCAAGTGGCTGTACAAGCATCTGAAGCCGCTAACTCACGGATCTCGCTACAGCATTAACAGCTCCCAGGAATTCCTCAACCGGATGGAAGGCCTCAATGTAAGCACTGATGAATTCCTCTTGTCTTTTGACGTCGTTGCGTTATTTTCTTCCATACCGCACGATTTGGCAATTGACTGCGTAGCCCAACGGTTACAGGACAATCCTGTTGGTATCCCAGCGCAGCATGTCATAGAACTGCTCAAACTTCGCCTTAAGAACTATTGTAAGTTCGACAATATGTACTACCAACAGGTGAAGGGAAGTTCAATGGGCTCCCAATATCCGGCCTACTCGCCGAACTAGTACTACAGCGACTGGAACGAGGTTGCTCAAACTCTCAACCCCAAAATGTGGCTCCGCTATGTCGACGACACCTTTGTCGTAATAAAAAACCGCGAAGTTGAAAAGCTACATCAGAGGCTGAATGATGTCTTTCCGGCCAAACAATTTATCCGCAAGAGGCAGTAGGAGACAGTCTGTCGTTTCTGGACGTAAAAATACAAAGTCTGGACGACGGTAATCTCGCAACAAGCGTCCATAGAAAAGGGTCTGATCCTGAGATCATCCTCAATCATGGAAGCAATCACCCTGCGGCTCACAAAAGAAGCTGCGTCCGAACTCTCTTCCACCGGGCCTACCGTTATTGCAACAATGACGATCTGCTGAAGAAAGAACTAGGTTATCTATATCGGCTATTTCGATCTAACGGATACCCGATCAGTTTTGTGGAGAACTGCCTCAGGCGTCAGGTACAACCTCGAGGCCCCTCCTCAGATGGAGAAACCGTGACCCAGAAGTTCTTCTCCCTGCCCTACATGCAGGGGACCTCAGAAATAATCTCCCGCCAGCTAATTCAATTCGGCATCCGCGTTTTCCACAAGACTGCATCCTCGCTGCGCACAATCTTAACTCGAATAAAGGATTCTATCCCCAAAGAGGAACCGATTAACGTCATCTATCGCATCCCGTGTGCCAGTTATCCCTGCGTACATGTTGGTCATACAGGACGACGTCTGGGAACTCGAATTAATGAACACAAACTAACTATCCGTCGCCGTGATCCACTGTCCCTCGTCTTTGCACACTCACTCCAATGCGACCACCGTTTTAATTGGGATAACACCGAGGTGATCGCCACGGCCAACACAAAATGGGCGAGAGAATTCCTAGAGGCATGGCACTCTAACGCGGACAGCATCAACCGCCACGTTGATCTAGACGCCCATTATGGGGGCCTAAGATCACGCCTCACTAAGCCGAGCCCCACGCCGCATCAGCGGCCGCTAATCCAGGCGCCCGCATTCTCCCTCCCATCCAACACGGGGAGCCGTAACGGTCCCCCCCCCTTTTCCTGCCCTCCCGGCTCAGAACCCCGCATGACTCCCTACCCGCATCCCTCCTCACACGCTAATGGTCCGCCCGTCAATGTTTGTCTTGTCGCGTCTACTAGTCTAGTGTGACTGTCTCATTCTCTCTTTTATCTTCATTTCGTCTGACGACGGGTTGGCGTCACCAATTCGAAAATTCACGATTACAACTCGATTTCTTCCCAAGAACCTCTTCCTTTTTCATTATATCGTCTCGGAATGCATACCACTTCTACTCTACGACATATATATATGACAGCCACCGTCCACACGGTTACGGGCAGGTGCGAACGGGGCAGGAAGGCGAGATACGTGGAGGGCGAACAACGGACGATGCAAACAAGAGCAATGGCCGCGGTCAACCGACGCAACTCCCCTCCCCACATCCGAAAAAGGATGAGGAAGAGCCGATGCCGCCATGACAACAATCGCAAACCTTGTGATGCAGCGTGCTGGAAGTCTGTGACACGCCAGCACGAAGAACAAAAACCCATAAATACTGAGACGTGCAGTACGCAACCCACCTCCGATGATGGAAGCTTGTCTGCTTTCGAAACGTCAGGCCAATAAAACCACAGTTCCTTATCTTCTCAATTATATCAGGGAACGCGCCATTTCGCTTCAATCAGCAATATTGTTGGACGCGAAGCGCTAGAGTCAGCACGACGATGGGAGACCTTCGCCCTTCGCGTGTGTTCAACGTACGCACAAATCGAATTCCATCACAGATGCCTCGACAGCAGAGTGCTACCGAAGAGCTTGTCCTACAAGCCGCCGGTGAACACAAGACTTGCGAGACAGTAAGTTATGCAACACGGCAGGCGAATGACTCAAGTACTCCTCCAGGACTGTCATTTTCGACTGCACAAATACCGCAGAATTTTGAGCCAGTCATCTTCAAAGTGCTCGGAGTTAGTTGGCGAGAAGGAGACAACACTCCTCAGCCAAGTGATCGGTCAACGAGCCAGAAAACTAAGATTTAGATGTGATAGGGTGTTGATGGACGAATTCCAGAAATTAAGCTCAGTTGCACAAGATGACAACGATGTACTGGTCCATAATCTATCCTCCAAAGAATTTAAGCCAGAGCATATTCCGGTGCTGAAGCATGCTGCCGGATTCAACATTTCGGACGCCGACCCGGTGAACCTCGTGGCCACGATCGAGTCGGTTCTAAAACACTGCCAAGAGCCAGCTGAGACACAGCACCTCATTCGGCAACAAGTCACCATAAACCGCGATTGTTCATCCCGCGAGCGCAGCAGGATGCCCTCAGGGCGCTGAAGGCGGACAAAAGTACCGTTATCCTACCGGCAGAAAAAGGGCGATCGACAGTTATACTTGACAAAACCGAGTACCTCCAGAAAGCCAATGCCTTGCTTGAGGACAGGCAAGCGTACGTAAAGTGTGATGTTGACCCCACGAAGAGGGTAATGACGCAAATAAACACAACGCTCATTATGCTACAAAACAATCGCGCGATGACTAGGGCAGAACGACTGACCACGAAACCGACCGATGCTGCCATGGCAAAGTGCTACGGGCTACCCAAGATACACAAAATGGTGCCCCACTTCGTCCCATCGTATCCTTGCGCAGGACACCCACATTCAACCTGGCCAAATGGATGTTCCGACGTCTGAACTGCCTTCGCTCGGGCTTCGATACGACGGTCCGATCATCCGTCCATTTCCTGGAAAGACTGAAAGGGCTGCAAATTAACACAGACGAGGTCATGGTGTCGTTCGATGTAACCTCGCTTTTCTCCTCGATCTCAAAGGATATGGCAGTTGAAACTGTCAGCGACCTTCTCGACAGCCAATACACGGAGGCAAACAATACCCCTAAGCGGGGACACCTAGTGCAACTTCCTCCAAGCGTTCTTCACCTTTGAAGGGACTGTGTACGAACAAATCAAAGGTACGCCGATGGGCTCACCACTATCCGGTTTCATCGCTGAAGCTGTTCTTCAAAGGGTGGAGACGTTGGTGTTCGCAGCATACAAGCCAGAATTTTGGGCGCGGTATGTGGACGACACTTTAGTCGTTCTCAAACGGGAAATGGTCTCGAATTTCCGCGCGCTACTGAACTCCGTTCTTCCCGATACTAAATTCACCATGGAGACAGAGAACAACAATCAAATCGCGTTCGTAGACTTTCTGGTCCATCGCAAGGGCAACGGGAGCCTGAAAACGACGGTCTGCAGGAAGGCCACTAACACTAGCCAAGTCCTGTCCTACCACAGCAATCAGCCGCGGTGTCACAAACGAAGCTATGTTCGATCTCGCTACAAGAGAGTTGACACGCACTGAAACGAACCGGCCTACAAGATAGCCGAACTATCTACGGCGGCTGTTCACCTCCAACGGTTACCCCCGCAGTTTTATAGAACGCAGCAGACTGTCCAGACCAACCATAAAGTCAACAGTAAAACAGCCGAAAGTCTGGCGAGCGCTGTCATATATTGCGAACGTTTCCGAGGCAGTCGCTCGTATTTTGCAACCATTGGGTATCGGCATCGCTCACAAACCCGAAGCAACAGTTAGACGTCTGGTCATGAGACCAAAAAAGCCTCCACCACGAGGCGAAACTGCCAACGTCGTCTAGCGGATCCCATGTAGTTCCTGCGAAGCAAACTACGTTGGAGAAACCGGGAAAAGATTGCAGACCCGCCTGGACGAGCACGCAAGAGCGGTACGAAGGATGGATCTGCTCTCGCTGGTGGCGGAACATTGCGCAGGTTTTGGCCATGCCTTCGCCTTCCAAGACGCCGAAGTCTTGGACCAAGGGAGCGATCAAACGGTCAGGGAGACGCTCGAAGCCTGACAAACCACAACTAACTCGAACAACCGCTGCGTAACTTTGCCGGTTGTCGGCTTTTTCGACATGAAACCTCAGGCAACCCTTCCTCGAAATCCGAAGGATACTAAACTCCCATTAAAACCCATTGTACATATGAAGAAAACAGACTTAGGGACGCTCGATAATTTTAAAAATTTTAAGTGTCGTTACGAATCAATTTTTTCTGCTCTTGGTGCCCTTCTTGAAGGAAAGTTGCCAACACTTACGTCTCAGCAGTGTGAGAAGCTCATGCCTCTCATTGACCTGGTTGCTAGTGAGACCAAAGACAGGCACAAACGAAGTTCTAACTTTATTTTAAAAAACGTTCCTAAGAGTAGACAGCCAATAGATGTCGCCTTTCATTTCCTTTATTCATGCGGCTTCAACATTAGGGTCGCGGAAGCTAAAAGGCTTTCATCTAGGAGCAAGAATCCACCAATTCTTGTCAAACTCTTTTCGTCGATAGAAGTGGATTTTATTTTCTCCCATTTGGGGCGCTCGACTCAATATCTCAGGAGAAATAAACTTTTTATTAGTCGAGATCAAACTCCACTGCAACGAAGAGTTTCTCCCCCATTAACAAACGTAAAGCCACCCCAGAATTCTACTCATCTGCCGTTTGCCCCTAAAGCAGATTCTCCACCGGGCGTCAACCAAACCTCCCCCTTATCTGCAGTGGCCCCGGTTCCATCTAGCTCTTCAATTGAGCACATTATCACTGAGTCAGTTGAAATAGGCCTCGGTAGTACGCCCCCAAGAAGCAAGGATTGCTCAAATGCGGCTCCCAAATTTGCGAGGGAGCTTGATCTTAACAGTAGAGATGAGCCAGTCCTAGAACCACAACCGACCCCCAGCACTCAGAATAATGAACTAGTTACTAAACCTAGATCGAATCCATCCGGTTCCCGCGCCTGGCCACTCAGGTCTGACCTTGCGGTTTGGTCAAATAAGCCAGATGATAGTTCAGGGAGGTCTTTACCTGATCCTATCCCGAATTCTCAAATTAAAGTAAACACCTCAGTTGTGAAGCCCACTTACACACCAGCCTGCAAATGCAAGTATGTAGCGTTGCTGATAAGTTTTCCAATCCCATTG